GATGGGCTGAATTGCACAAAACGCATGATCGCACCGGCTAGTCTGGTGCACATTGCTATTTATTTTCGTTTTCTTCGTTGACCACGTTTTCGTTATCCGCTTCCTTGTCTTGGGAAAGCGGACGGGTTTTCCGGTTCAGCTGCTCTTTATAGACGGTGATGGTGGTTTCGAAGCTGCCTGATCAGGCATTTTTGTATGCTTTTCTTTCAGTAAAACGCAAACGGTTCGTCAAACCCAGATTACACCGTCGCAGATGTGGGGCGGCCAGGGATTGCTGGGCATCTCGATTCGATTTTGCTCATTTGAAGGGGCACGTGAAAACGTCTGGCATGTTGTGTATGTGCAGCCGAATTCGCCAGCAGAAATTGCCGGCTTACAATCCAATACCGATTATATTCTTGGCGCTGAGTCTGTACTCAATCAGGTTTGCCCATCTGTCTATAATTTGCATGCATGCTTGTGCGTTAAATCATCTCGTGTTGATTGATTAGTGAATTCTTTAGGCCGAAGATCTCATCGCGCATTTGCAAGCAAACGAGGGCAAACCGATCAAATTATATGTTTACAACACCGAATCTGATTCTGTTCGAGAGGTGCGTTCGATCACTTCTTCCGAAAAAAAAAGACTTTTCGTGATATGACATTTCTTGCGCGGATTGGGCATTACCAAACGACAATAAGATCCAAACCGTAGTAATGCCGTGAAGACGCCCCGCAACAGTTCCGTCCAGCTAAGCTTGACCAGTATCCAGCTCTGTTTCTTCGGTTGTCATGGATCCATGATACAACAGTTTCCACTCCAGTCCATTAGAGGGCCACATTCATACCATAAGAACATGTATTTTTCGTAACATGGACAATATGAACTAGTACTTAGTGATATTTGAGAGTACGCACCGATTTAATAAAACAGGTCATTGGCAACGAAACTTTCCTCACCTTGTGCGGAGGAGTACTTTTTAGTGCTTGTTTATACTACTAGCTTTGGGCATAAAGCTCTCTTCTCATTAGTTGCCTTGATGGAGTTAATTTTACACCACAGCAATTGCCCAGCCGAAAAGTTTCTTCAAGTTTTCTATGTTCTCACATTGCAGGTAACAGAATTTTTCACTGAATAAATTCACAGTTTGCAGGTCACACTAACGCCCAATTCGGCCTGGGGCGGTGATGGTTGTCTGGGATGTGACATTGGCTATGGCTATCTGCATCGTATACCGGGCGATCGAAAAGGCCCATTGAAAGGTGAAGAACTTGCCGCTCTACTTCAGAATCAGTTGAATAATGGTACTGCCAGCTCGCCAACCATGAACAACGGCGACTATGCACGCTCCAACAATTCTGTCACCATTCCGCAACCGGGTAAGCGTGTTTCTAGTCATACATGCCAAAAACAAGTGCAGCTTGAGCAGATGCTTGCTTAGAAGCGTCTGGCTTGGCTTTGACGCGTGACTATGAATCTGTAGCGTCGGAACTGCTTTTAATGCTCGAGCTAAACTGTTCCTGGAAAGTCTCTTGCGCGCCCCCTGTGCTTTTGACCAGTGCCCGGACAATCAGCGTGAAGTTTTCGATGTTACAGAGATAAAGCCTCACATACTGAGCGCACCTCACAGAACTGCTCTCCTACGTAGCCTTGTAAAATTTACGCCTTCATAACTTGCTTAATTCGTGCATCTGGTCATCTGTCTAGGATTTGGAAGGTGGGATATTTAAAATATGACTGTTTTTTATTTTTTTTTTAACCCCACTTGTTAATTTAATATTTAAATTTCAGCCTGTTTTTGTCTTTTTAACCAAAAAAGTAAAAAATTAAACTCGCATTCCCGAAAAAAAAAAACTCGCAAAATTGTGTTTTTTGCTTATTGTTTTGCGTCAGATTTTGACTGTCATCGTTTGATTTTAGTATCTTCCTATAGTAGAATGGGGTATAAACATCCCACTTCGCATAATTTGTTTCTGTGAATATTTTCAAACTGACCTGATCCAGACATTTATAGACAAGAACGAAATGACTATCCTTGTGTCCCCATCACTCATCGTCGAAGTCCTTTTTTTCACTAGTGGTACAAAGGCAGCAAAATTTCTTTTTCGCAATGTTCATTTCATTCTGTGTGCTTGATTTATTTCTTTCTTTTTTCAAAATTTTGTCATCTTAGCTTAACTTTACTTTGCAGTATTTGAAGTATGGCAGGAAATGTATCTGTGTTGCATTAGTTAACTTTAGCTTCATTTTTCGCTAAGTCATTCCTAGAGTTAACAAAACAGACATACCGATGAAGGGCTAATACAGAGTGGTAGAAGTTCAGCTTGATGTTTTACATCGTCATTTATGCAATGTTTCAGGCAGCACTGGCATTCCACAGATTGATTCAGTGCAAAGTGTGCCGAAATTCCCAGATCCTAGTACATTTGCTCCACCGCCACTGCCACCCAAATTGGTAAAAAAAATTTTAGTTCTTTTTTTTTTGAATGTATTATTGTTCTTTTTTGTTTGAACTTTCAAAAACAAATTTTTTTTAGCCTCTTTTATCGGCTGGTATCCAGAATATGCCAAATGTATCTGTAGCAGTGGCCTCACGTTCAGCTGAAGTGCGTGATGTCTCACCGACAGTTCAACAACAGCCTGCACCGGTTCGTTTCCGAATTTTTTTTTACGTTGGAATTATTTTAATTTTTTTAGATACACTATTGTTGTTTTGCGAAAACTCCGAAGAAAAAAAAAAACTTTCTATTGCTTAATTTACACATTAGGCGCATTTCATACATACACATATTAATTCTTAACTAAGAGGGCATATATCACACGTTTCAGTAAATATGGGAAAAAAAAAGTTGTTAGGGACAAAAATGCTGAATGCATTAGCAAGTTTAAGACAAACGACTAAACGCCGATTGATCAGTTTCGTCGCTTTCCAGTTGTTAATCAGTACTGGCACGTGTCAGAGAATCACATTCTCCACCAGCTTTTTTTAGACAGCCTCAGA